CGAACATGAAAGTTAGACGAAGTAATTGATGACTGATATGTCAACAAAATGTTTAGGTTTTCCCGGAATTTTGAGATACGGATCATTATTTATGCTTTTCTATTCAAAGCAGAATGCTCACATTGGTTGTTATTCTGACAACGTTTCGTTCGTTATTAATTCTGACAATCTTCAGGTGTCTATATCTGAACTGTTTCATACTGCTAAAATTAAAAGCTTTATTCAATTCATGGGAGGGAATGTTCTCAATTTTGCTTGATATGAAGAGTTAATACTGAACAGTTTTATTCATATTTGTGTCGCTTGTTCTTTGTAGTCCACATAGTACGTGACTTTAAATCACTTTTGCTTTATATACCGCCTACCTTCAGGGCATGATCGATCATGGCCCTCCCCAATTTCCTGTCTTTTGTAACTCGCAGTAACATTTAAGTTTTTGTATCTCTCCTAATCCCCGTTCTGCCAACCATATACACAAGCTCCTTAGAGGGTACTCTCCTCTGGCTCTTTTGCCTTTACTGTTAGTGTTATTTTTTCTAAGCCCTTTCTTCATAAGCTGCCCTAAAAATTTCACTGTCTATTTCTGATGTTGAGTATAAGCGTCCTTTTTGTTTCCATTTTCTGTAAAACATCGTCATTTCTCACATGTTCAGTCTATGGTATTCTTACCATCCTTCTGTAGAACCACATTTTTGTTAGCTCAAGTCTCTTATTCATCTATTTTACATAACAGTTCAATACTCGTTTCTTTGTTTCTGACGAGATTTTCCTGTTTCCTAATACATTGTTTAGCTTTTGGAAGGCATCTTTCGCTATCACAATGCGCATTCAGATTTCGATGTCGCATTTTCCGTCCTCTGTTAAAACACATCCTAGAAATTTAACTTTTAGTACTTGTTTTATTTTGGCTTTTACAATTTTTAATTCTTTTGAATAGACGTAAATATTGATCTACCAGCTGCCAGTGAACGGGTTTTCTTTCATCCAGTGTTTTAATCTTTTAGGCCATTTAGATAAATATGAAACACATTGGATATTTTAAGTGAATAATCTAGAGACACAGCAGATGGATCTTGGCAAGAGGCGGATTCCTTTATTGAAATAATAAACTAACGTCAGTTAAACAACATCTAAAGGCATATGGATTAATGTTTAGTCGGCATTCTTATAGATCTCTACAGAGTTCATGATAATGTCAAAATAAACAAATGCAAAGAATTATTGCAAGTTCTTGGATAAGAGATTGCTTGAGTAGTACACCCTTGTGCAAATTAATTGAAACAACTGCTTTAGTTTCCTTTCTTTCACCAAACGGTCAGTTTTAGACCCCCTGGAGTGACAGTGTGTAATCGATTTCTATTTTCCATCAGATTATATCATTTGCAGTGGTGCGCAGTACTATAAATCTATTTTCAGGATGTATGATGAAATTTCGTTGGCCTTGAATAATATTGCGTCATACCTGATTGCATCAGATTTTCATCACGGCCAGACATTATTCTCTGGACTGTCGATTAGTTGTCCTAAGGCCATTGTTAATTTATCCATTGTCTGCGCTGGACGTTACTCCAAGGAAGCGTATGAAAATTATAACGCTACAAGAACCCACTTGCAATTCTTACCAGTGAGCAAATCAATGTACTATAGACTAGCCCGGAATCTCTTAAATGCAATCGAGAATCTGTTGTCAATCTGCAAGGAACTACTTCCTGGAATGGCATACGAAGTAGTAACATGGACGGTGGGTCATGTTTAATTGGAGAAAATACGAAAATGCATATTAATAACGGAATTATTCGTTTTGTTTCAGTTATTTTGAAAAAGGGTGCAGATGTCACAACTAAGAAGATGTAAGCTAAAAAATTGCAATGCAATACTCTTTTACAAAATGCAGAACTTGTTAATTCCCACTTTGCTAAAAAATATTTTAAAGTTATCAAATTAATAAAATAGTCTCACCCTCTCCAGATATAGAAAACTGTAGCTCGTCATTTAGAGAGATGGCGAAACAAAAGCCTGGCAAAACGATTTGTGATTGACATGAATATATTGTTGCAATAATACTAAAGTTGAAACAATTGAAACGTTAAACGGAATCAATAAAAAAAAGGTGATTTATGAAGGTTAAAGTATTGCAAAGCGCCCATTTCAAAATACATAAGATTAAACATTAATTTATCCAGGCATACCGTTGCATATAGAATTCATGAAACATATTTCTGCGGCCTCTGTCTTTTGAATTTATTTATAAACTAGCAGTATAACCCGTCTTTGTCCGGGTGTTTCATTACTGGGAATTTTTGCCGTTAAATTGGAGCAGTTTAAGTTTAAAGTCAGGCCACTCGGAAATTATTAATAACAACAATTGGGTGCAACTGAGGCACATCTCCAAATGGGGGGGGGGATAACAATTTGAATAGGGGTGGCGTTTTTGCGTTTTCAAACTTGCAAGGAAGGAACCTCTTCCATGGACCGTCATAATAATTATATACGATATTTTTTATTTATAATATAATTTTTTTATAATTCTAATAATCTTTTACGTTAGATTTCAACTTTATAAATTGATTGTACGCTGTTTTTACATACAATAAATTTGGCCCATGATTTTTGCGCGAAATGAAAAACATCAGTTTTTCGATTTTTCACTGTCAAGGTTGTAATTTTTTCCAGCCATTTTGGACTCAAAATCGGCACTGAAGAATAATCTATCAAACAATTAAAAAATCATCGAAATCGGATGAAAACTGTGGAAACTCGTAAACAACATCTGATCACACACATATACACATACATGCACACACATTTTTAGAATTATAGATAGAGATACAAATGTATTTTATACTTTTCAAGATAAAAAAAATTGCTCCCCACAAAAAATATATTAAGTAAGGACATACGTGGTTTGATAAAAAAGAAAAAAAATATTGGAAATGGCGCTATAAGAAGAAACCTAAAAAAAATATCAATTCAGCATTTAATCTCCTTCGAAGTGGTCTCCTTCTGAAGACAGACCCTTTACCCAACATCGTCATCATTGTTGGAAGCATTTCTGGAACCTCTCTTAGGGAGAAGCTGGCGCGTCGTATTCTTTTGGATTTCTTCGAAGTCTTGAAATCTTGTTCAATTCAAATGGGATTTGATTTTTTGGAAAAAAATGCATAGGAATAGATCTAAAGAATATGGCGTTTGACAGACTTTGGGAATGTCGTGTTTGGCCAAAAACTTCTGCACAAGCCACTGATGGAACCTATGTTGTGTGGTGAGACTACCACACTCAACACGCTTTCCTTCCAAGCACCGATGTAAATAACAGAAGTCAGCGAGAAGGTTATAACTTTGTGAACACGACACAGCTACGGGTTAATCTCTGTCAGGTGGCTTCATCCTGCGGACTTTAGACCCGTTACCATAGCAACAAATCCGATACTTTTTTTTAGCAGATCTCGTATATTATAAGCCAAAGCTCAGACGATATATTGCTCATACTCAATTTTAACCAACATCGCTTTGTTAATACAGATGGCGTAATCGATTAGGGCCATACGGCCACCACATAGCAGCAGTAGTGTCTTGAATCAGATAGCCTGACGGAGCTCACCCAACTTCAGGCTAATTTAAATTCAGGGTTTCCCTCTCATACCCCGGTTGCCAACAAAAGCGATAAGGACCAGTCTCTCCATAGCTAGGGACAAGAGAAGGATTCATATATTTGCGAATGGTATTTGCACGTAAAGAAGTCGACTGGAATTCGAACCCGGTTCATCTGCTTTCTAATTCCGAGACGCAATTCATTACACCACCGCATAGCTACATTGTGAAAATACTGATTTAATTATAAATCCATAATAACTAAGACTCGTTAAAAGTGACAATCGCAGATATGATGTCTAATATAAACGAGAACCACCTGACCTGGGCTTGAAGTTGGTGTGTATGGAAGTTGCAGTAAAATAAATTCACTCGTATGTGCAAATGAGTGTCATGCCGAGTGTGTAGGAAGCGATGCTGGAGCATTATCGGCCCTTTTCAATTTTCCAAGTTTGATGAAAGCACCCAACAGAATATAGTTATTGAGCTGAGAACTTGTCAGCGACCCCTTTTATAAAGGTATCAATACCTGGAAAAGAGAGACGCAAAAGTTGCCGAAAATCTTAAATTCTGTCAAAGTACTTAAACTTATAGGACAATATGAGCATTAACATTGTTGGAATGGCACGAGTTCAACTAAGCAAAAGTCATAATTCGAAAGTGGTTTGACATCGAGCCAGTGAGAGGAAAAGGTTAGACTTGATGATAGAAGAAAGAAGAGAGGAAAAAATGAGAGCGATGAAAGGAAAAATAGTAAGAAAGAATACAAATGAGAAGAAGCAAGACAGAATACAAAGAAGGGGGATAAAAGAAATGGAGGGAGGAAAATGATAAAGAAGAGAGAGGAGACATAAGGAAAAGACGATAGGAGAATAAAAATATGAGAGGAGAGAAAATGGTACGAGAGAAGAGGAAAAATTTAGGAAGATGTGATGAAAAAATACCAGGTAAACGAGTGAAGCGGAAGTAGTATTGTGGGTATGAAAGAAAAAAGAAGGCAAAGACGACAATTAAAAAGAAAAAATGTTAGAGACAACGAGATGAAGAAATAAAACGATTAGAAAAAGTAAATGGGTGATAAAATACAAAAGCAAGAAAGAAATGGTAAGCTAAAAGAAAAGGATGAAAATGTGGCTTTTGTGGAGCCGGAGGTAGCGGCGTTCATATCTGGATTTCGAACGCTGTTTTTAAGACACGCAAACCACCCTTTCCACTCACTCTATCGTATTGTGTCATACAAAACAAAGTTTAGTGCCAATACGTACTAAACTTTTCTTTGTATGACACGATGAGGAAAATGAAAAACAAAAAGATCGAAACAAGAAGAGAAAATAATTAAAAGAAAAAAAAAACAAATAGGAAGAGCTTGAATACTACTACTACGACTACTACTAAAACTACTACTGCTACTAATAATAATAAATATAAAGAAGTAAGAGGAGGAGAAAAAGAAGAAGGAAGGTTGGTGGTAACGGGAGATCGATGATGAAAGTGTAAAAAGAAATGAAGAACAGACATTGTTGGTGAAAGTAAAATGAAGAAAGAATAAAGAAAGAAAGAAGTGAGAAGGGTACGAAGAAAGCTAAAGCAGAAAGAAGATATGTGAAGAAGGAAAAAGAAAAAGAAGATGAAAGAGGCAGTGGAAGTGGGGTTTGAGGATGCGACAAGAAGGTCGATGGCAAAGTGTGAAAATATTAAAAACTGGAAAAAAGAGGAAGAGAAAGAAACAAAGGAAGGAAGGAAGGAAGGAAGGAAGGAAATAAGGAAGAAAGAAAGAAAGAAAGAAAGAAAGAAAGGAAGGAAGGAAGGAAGGAAGGAAGGAAGGAAGGAAGGAAGGAAATAAGGAAAGAAAGAAAGGAAGAAAGGAAGGAAGGAAGGAAGGAAGGAAGGAAATAAGGAAGAAAGAAAGAAAGGAAGGAAGGAAGGAAGGAAGGAAGGAAGGAAGAAAGGAAGGAAGGAAGGAAGGAAGGAAGGAAGGAAGGGAGGAAATAAGGAAGAAAGAAAGAAAGGAAGGAAGGGAGGAAGGAAGGAAGGAAATAAGGAAGGAAGGAAGGAAGAAAGGAAGGAAGGAAGGAATAGAAGGAATGTCTCGAAGAAGAATATGGAAGGCGGAAAGGAGAACGATGAAGAGAGATTAAAAAAAAACGAACGAATAACAGAAGTAAGTAGAATAAAACGTAGAAAGAAGAGTAGGAAAAAGAAGACGATAAAGAAAGAGAAAGAGAAACGAAATTCATAAGCCAGTAGTGGTAGTGGCTGAAGAAGAAGACAACGAAGAAAAATATGAGGAGGAAGAAGAAGATAAGGAGGAAGTGAAAGGAGAGAAGATGTAATTTAAATGTTGCAAACTTTTATACTAAATGTGTGACTTGATACTTATTAGTCACGTATTCAGTCAAGAAATGAAAATGATTGCGTGCATATTAACGAATTGTATTCATTCTATAACCGGATGAAATCGTTGGGGTAGCAGGCTGCACTAAACTGTTAGTATTTGCTGCGCCATCCTCTAGAATATTTCACAAGGCATAGGCGATAATTTGGTGATAACCATTTTCGTTGTGATCCTCATGACTTGCATTATACAAGCAGCTGCGTTTTAACAATGAACTATCTATTATCATGATACCCGAAATAGCAAGATTAGTCTCAAAGTGACTGCTGATATAACAGTGTGCAAGATGAGTTGTATCCAGGAAGAGATTGTCAACAAGAATTCGCTATAACTCTTTATTTTCTCAAGCAATTTCGCCATCTCAAATGTCAGTTCAACATCACCGAACAGACACTGATCATACATATATCAGGATAGCTATTCTTTCAAGAAGGTTCTTCGCTTTGAATGCCTACTGGTACTAAAGCCCACCACATATCATAAGAGAAACCCACATATACGATCCATCGCTAACGGTGCTAGAAAAATGGTCGGCTTCTTCTATCGCTCCAGAAATATCGATCTGCTACCACTATTCTCTACAAGAGGCAGATCAAGCCAAAAAATAAAGTATGCCTCCGACATCTGGATTGGAGCAGGTCAGGCCTGGACAGAGTTAAAAAGCATATTGTATATTCCACCGTACAACCCCATTTTCACAGCACAAACGACGCAGGCCTCTCGCTGTTCTATCGCTATTTCCATGGCAAATGTTCTGCCGAGTTATATTGCTTAGTTCTTGACCTCTGTAGCAGTGTAGAACCACCTTCATCCCTTTAGTATTTTCGATAGTAATAAGAGAGTTCCACTATGATAGCCTCTTAACTCACACTTTGTGGAACGATGTTTTCCCGGTCATTGCAATCTTAACCTCTTTAAGTCTCTTACATACCCTCATAAACTACACTTCTTACCTCCTCCTGTTATGATCCGTACAACCTCATTTTTGTCTTCTTTCTTGAGTGGCTCTTGTGCCTTGGATTAGGTGAAATAAGTGTAAGAAATATACGGTTACTGTAGCCTAGTAATTAGTTACTGTTGTGAGATTCTTCAATACTGAACGCAATTAAACTTTAGCTAATAGCATGTCAGGCGTAATAAATATATATTATTAGGCGTCCAATTGTGGGGTTGGGGTTAATCTGCTGGAGTGAATTCGGCTTGTCTTAAGCGCTTTATATCTGAGGTCTTGTGCCAGACTAAATTAAGTTAAAGTCAATAATAAAGATACGATTGATTTGTGTTTATATTGAACATTCAAAAGACGGAAGGAAGAAATAAAAGAAGGGAGGAAGAAAGAAAGAATGGTGAATGGTTATGCGTAATAAAAAAAAAAAAATATAAAACAAAATTATGCATGAATGATTAAGAGAAAAAGTGATGACAGAAAAAGTATGAAGTGAATTTGGTGAATCGCTGTTTTATGAAGATAACAAATCTAGTAATATTAAGAAACTGTAAAAAATAATAAATGCAAATAAGTAACGGAAGAAAAAGAAAGAATTGATATTTGAAGAAAGAAAGAAAGAAAGAAATGTGATGGCATCAGAAGGATAAAAGAGTAGGATTATAAGCAAAAAAAAATGTATATATATATATACATAATACTTAAGGTATAAATTTGTGACGATGCAATGTATGAAAATACAGAGATTTGGGTTAAAAAACATACGGAATATTGATATGCAACAGCGGAAACTGGCCAATCACTGTCGACTTGTCGGACTAGAGATGGAGGCTAAACTTGGAGAGGTTCGTTGGGCAGGAGGAAGCACAATTCACTTGTCTTTTGCAGTGAACGATCATCGAGAAAGATTGGTGGAAATCCCGTGACTTAATATAAAGATGGGTTGATAAATTATGGACCGTTGGTAGCTTTTAATGGAATTATTTGTGACAATGGAGACATCATTCCTAGACACAAATTCCTGTCACACACAGGTCACACACACACACACACACACACACACACACACACACACACACACACACACACACACATATATATATATATATATATATATATATATATTCCGGTTTTCAGAATTCTGTTATCTGAGAACTTTTCAGCATCCGCACGAGTATATATATATATATATATATATATATATATATATATATATATATATATATATATATATATATATATATATATCTGTTTTAGTAAAAAAAAGAAGTACAGTAAGATATGTAATCCGTGTTCTTATTGATATTTTATTTTTACAAAACTGCTCAATGTAAATTTACAGAGCATAAATATTATAATTATAATTTACAGACAATAAATATTATAAATTAACTGATTTAAAAATATGGTTTCATCGCAACCAGGAATTACCTTGTTTCAAAAACAGAAAACCAAAACGACATATTCAATTAAATTAAATTAACAGCATTAGTTCTGTTTCATCTTCAAGCAAATTTTCGAATAACGTATTTTAAAATTTACTGAGTTTTACAAGCACATAGATTCATATTTTTTTTCCAAGGATAGAGAGAAATCCAATCGTTTAGACAGGGGCGGTAGCGTGTTCTTTATTATTGACTATTATTGTATCAATTCCGAGTTATGTTCGAAAATGGGTTAAGTCTAGGTAGAGTAGGGGTGCCTTTTTCAAGAAATTATCCCATCCGTTCAACACATGTAGTTTGGTTTTTCATCAACGCCAAAAAGTTTTTTTTTTCATTTTAATCGTTATATTTCTACTTGTATACATACAGTTTCTTTCTAAAAGGTGTGTTTGGATTAGAATACGTTGTATTGATCTACAATTTTAAAATATTATTTTTTTTATAAATATTTTAAAATTTTATATTATTTTATAAATATTTTAAATTATTTTATAAATATTTAAAATTTTTATATCATTTTTTATAAATATTTTTTATAAATATTTTTGAATATTATATATATATATATATATATATATATATGTGGTCAGATTTGAAACAGTGGCAGTAAAAGGTGCTCAGTAGATATAAAAAACTGATATGTAGAGTTTTTAAGTATAGAAAAATAAAAGGTCTGTCGATTCCACTGCATTTGTTTTAACCGTTCGTTATATTCAGGTGATTTCGGTCAGTTGGTTTCCGGACGGTTTAATTTTTTTAAATAAAAACATTATGACAGGTATATATAATTTTATATTTAGGAACGCTATAATTTAAAAAAAAATAAGAATAAGCTTACGACGTGAGGTGTGGTAGAAGGTAAGGAGTAGGAGAAGGATGGGAAAATCAAGTGTATTGGAAATATATCGTTGGTGGCTTAAATGAAATATACATACTTCCTTTTCATCCCACTTCATATGAACTCAAAAAGAACTTTTTAGTATGCACATAACGGGATATAATTTCCGATCTCTGATTCAAAAGTTTTTTGTTCTTTTTCCGTCTGGAAATGTTGTTATAGCTAATTTTTCTTGTTGGCAAAGGTTGCAGATGTTGCTAAGATTGTTGTAAGGTTTTGCTTTTTTTTTTTAAATTTTCCAGTTTACAATTGGATTTTTTTTATGTTTTCCTTTCATTTTCACGTATATTTGGCTATTTTAGTAGAATTTCTAAGGTTTTCTAGCTTAAAAGATGATTTATTACTGTTCCACCTCTATTTAAAGTTAACCTAAGTAGACCCTATGTATATTTTTATGGTCATTTTTATCTATTACTTTTGCTTGTAAAATACTGCTTCAGTTTTGTAAACTCCATCTAATGGACATCTATTTTTATTTCTACAATTGCATATTTCACTGTTAAAAAATTTATGTTGCACGTTAGTTTTGAAATTTCTGGCGTTTTGTCATTTTACATTGATTTTTAAATTACTAGTACAGTTCTAGCCTCATTTAGCTGTGTTCTTATTAAATATTTTATGTAATTCGGAATTTTTGGGTCAGTGTTTATTAATATCATTGAATATGATTGACAAGGATAATTTCGTCATGTTTTATTCATTTATTAATGTTCTTACAGTTTTTACTTTTTTAGGGTTGAGGAGAGTCTATAATCTTTATGTAGTCTTTGTCAACTCAAAAGCTTCTCCCAATTAATTGTTTATTCTCAAGGCGTTGACTGCTACTGTATTAGCTGCTATAGTATATGTCTATTCTAAGCTGTAATCTATAGAAGTAATAGTAATACTTAGCCATACTGTACGGGAGTAATTCTACCTTTTAAGAAAAAAAACAACACATTCTAGGAAGCAAGTATATGGAGCGTTTGTATATATATATATATATATATATATATATATATATATATATACTCGTAGAAAACACAAATATATTAACTGCATCCACCTGCAAAAAAAGAGTAAAAATAATGGAAGCTTTAATAATAAAAAAAAGCCAACTCTTAACAATATTAACTACGAACAAAGCCACAATGTGCTAACCGTATTCGCAAATTAAAAACATCCCTACCACACACTGATACATACACAGAACGCACACACTCAATTAAGCTGAAAATCGAATCATCCTTGATAATGGCTAAAGGTATAGCCGAAAGCGCTCGAAAATATAAAACATTTGGACAGTTCTTACACACCCTTTGTCCAGAAAAGAAAGCTCCTTTTTAAAACAAGAAAAATTAAATAAAAAGCTTAACCGTAGTACCTTCTCTGTCGTTTTTAATGAAACATGCATATATATATATATATATATATATATATATATATATATATATATATATATATATATAGTGGAAATATGGCAAAACTTCGGAGTCATTATACAGTGGTCTACCGATTCTAGATTGGTTAAAGACGAAAGATAATTTTCAAATATCATCTAGGCTGAGCGTTTC